TGACTCACGAGTGGTCTGGTATGGTCACTGTTAAGAGGGGTGCTGTTGAAGTGGCCATGGAGCTTAAGGGAGACTCTGCCTGGTGTTCTTTGGGCCTCAGGCACCTGAATGCCAAGGAGTCTGCTGCCATTTGAGACACCGACTCCTCTGTGTGTGCTATAACAGCCAAGCCTCCTTGCACCTCCCAAACCTGGAGCAAGGGAGAGTCAGGACATAAAAGAAGAATGTGGTCATTGTTAGAGATGGAAACACGTTCTTAAAGTGTGTTTTCAGGAGATCAGCTTCATTCTCTACCTGGTTTCGTTGGTTCCTCTGGATAAAGACAGACCACCACCTTTACCATAGACATTGGAGGGATATGTCAGCATCTCTTCATTGCAGCCAGGATTTATCAGGGACATGGCAAATTCTTAATAACCTAACTAGCAAAACAGAATCTTTTGCCAAGTTCACACATGACCAGATTATGCAACAATGTAGGACAAAGCCATTAACCTCTATGTCTTAAAGCTTCTTTACAAATCCTTTTTGTTTTTTTTTTTGTAAGTCTTAGTCACCTTGGGGGTGAATGCTGTGGCATCACAGCTTACAGCAACCTCAAACTCCTGGGTTCAAGCGATCCTCTTCCCTCAGCCTCCTACAGGTGCTAGCCATAATACCCAGCTATTTTTAGAGACGGGGTCTTGCTCTAGCTCAGACTGTTCTCCAACTCCTGACCTCACACAGTCCACCCCTTTCAGCCTCCCAGAGTACTAGGATTACAGGTGTGAGGCTTCATGCCCAGCCCTTCTTTGCAAATCTTGAACCTCTGAAGATGACTGCTTTTCATTTTTTGTAACTGGTTTGCCATTATGTTTCAGCTCCAGCTGCATCTGAGAATACATAAACATCTCTTTGGGTCTTTTAAAAACTTGTGTTAAAAAAGCATAAAATTTACCATTTTAATTATTTTTATGCATATAGTCCAGTAGCAGGTATGTTTACATTGTTGTAAAACAGATGTCTAGAACTTTCTCATCTTGCAAATCTGAAGCCTTATACTCATTAAACAGCTCCTTCTTTCCTCCTCCCCTTATCCCTTGGCAACCACCATTCCTCTTTCTTTGAATTTGACTACTTTGGATACTTTATATAAGTGTAATTGTAGATTGTT